AAAGGCACCCTCCGATGATGAATCCCTCCCACCTGGCCGTCCCTCGCCAACCTCGCCCACGTCTTCTCTTTTCCCTCCTTTTACGCCTTTCATACGCCCGCCCTTCATTGACACAGCCGGGACGGACGGAGAGTCTTTGCGAAGGATCCGACTCAGGGCCCCAGACATGGAAGAACTGGACCCTCGCCCGGCGGTGGCGGAGACAGACACGGCAGATGCAGAACGCAACGACCAAGATATCGGGAAAGGGAGAAAGGTCGAGATTGAGAAGAGCAATGTACTGATGATGTGGGTCTATGATCGCGGAAACGGACGTAAGCTGATTACCCAGTGGACCGACCGGTACCGGAAAGACATTGATGACCAAGACGTTGGCTAGAGTTCTCGATGTGCCTTTTGCGTGAGCTAAATCGTTGCCCAAGTTGCGCAAGCTGATACCCCAGTTCCTGCGATGCTACCACATATACCTCTGCTGGATGTACGTTGGCCAGCTGTCCCTGCGGATCCGCGCTGACCTCGCAGACGTTGGAGACGACGTCGAGACCTGTATCCTACGCCTACTCCAAGCTGCCGATTATGACGTTGCTCGGGCAGAGTAAGTGAGGTTCTCCGTAATTATACCTTTCCCCTGACAATCAGACGAGGTATCATACACATTGACGAGATTGACAAGCTCGCGAGGCGGGGCGCGGGTGACGGATTCGCGACGTGGGGAGGAGGGCGAGATGTAGGTGGAGAGGGTGTGCAACAAGCCTTTCTCCGCCTGCTCGAAGGCACGACGGTAACCCTACAAGCCAAACCTCCACCCATCACGGCCGGATCGAAGAAGGAGGGCAAGGACGACATTGGGGGAGAAGGATGGGCTAGTGATGCTAATTTGAGGAACGGACTGTCGGGCATGGGACCGAAGAGGGGCGTTCGAGACGGCCTGCCCGGGTTCGGGGCGAGCGGTTCGAGTGAGCTCATTTCTGAGGCATTTGGATGTCCGCTGACAACCAGGTGGAAAGGCCGAGACTTTTGTCGTGGACACGTCTAATATCCTTTTCATCTGCTCGGGAGCATTCGTAGGCTTGGAGAACCTAGTCAACTCCAGGATCGGCAAGGGAGTGGGTCGATGTCTTACACCTCCAATTTGGATCGTCACTCATCTTAGTCGATGGGCTTTGGGGCCCGATTACCCAGTCCGCCCCCCGACCGGACAACGGGCGATCTTCCGGACTTTAATCCTGAGGCCCTCAAAGGACTCGCGACGCCTGACCTCACTCAATATGGTCTCATTCCGGAATTTCTGGGTCGACTGCCCATCATCTCCACCCTCCACCCTCTTTCCGTTCACGACCTCGTGCGGATATTGACAGAACCCAAGAACGCTTTGGTCAAGCAATATCAAGCGATGTTCGAGGCGTATGGGTCCGAGTTGATATTCACGCGCAAGGCTCTGGAAGCCGTCGCGACAGAGGGTCTGAAGCGGGGTGGAGGGGCAAGAGGGCTTCGAGGGGTGCTGGAGGAGGTTCTTGGGGATGCGATGTTTGAAGTCCCGAGCAGTGTGCGTTGTATCGACCAGAGCTGTGCATCTGAGCTAATTCGGCAGGGAGTGCGTTACTGTCTGATCACCGAGTCGACAGTCAAGAAAGAGACCGAGGCGCTCTACTTCTCCAGGGGGCAGAAGTACCTATGCGAACAGAGAGCCGAGGAGGAGGATCGGTCGTTGACACCTGACGGCATCCGTCAGGCCGAGTGGGAGAGCGAGGAGGATGGAAGGATCAGGGCATCCGGATAAGCTAATCAATAAACGGTTGTGTCATAGTTGTAGATTGTACAAATTTAGGGCAAGGTGTGTCTTGCATCAGGTTCATGTTTGCTCCTCCACCTGAATGCAGACCCGATTCAATCTCTTCCTTCTGTCTGAGCTCGACTGCATGACTGCGGTGCCGTGCCCCTTGTTGCACAGGCCTGGCAGCCCTTGCCTCACAGTCCTAGCACAAGGGCTATTCACGAGATTGGAGGTCATTACAGCGCAGGTTGTAGTCCATCAAGCCCCCGTGCGACACACTTCATTCCCCAACATTCAGGTCCGGGTTCAAAGACTACGCCTCCACCATTTCAACTGTCTTCCTTCCGTTCGAAGAGTCAGCGAATTACGCTCGTCGGGGGACATTCAGTCGACTGAGATCTATATCCTCTGATCAATGATCAACTCGATCGCGCCGAGTCCTCTGTCCTTTGTGCATCTCGCATCATTGGCGGGGGAAACGATTCAGCATCAAGATGTCCTTCCTTTGTCCTCCCTTGACCTCCGCCCTCCCGCCCCCTGCCCCCGCCCCGTTTCCAGAGCATTCCATCAGAGTAGGCTATATAACCCCTGCACCGCACCCCGGCCTCAGAATGTTAACATTGCCTTCTGCTTGTCCCCTTTCTCTGCCAACCAATCCAATCACAACTGCACACCACCACAGTACGCGAGTTCCTCATTTGTTCATTTTGACAACATGGCTCCGCTTGACACCGTGAAATACAGCAATCCCCCCTCTGCAACAGCTTCCAGCGGGCACTTCCCAACTCTCCCTTCTGTCTCTGAGTCTGGGTCACACCCTGGCGGCCTCGCCACCACCGCCGTGCCGCAGGACCGGTGGCTTGTAAGGACCTGGAATCTTGAAGATTCAAACCCTGTCCCTTACGACCAAAGCTATTACAAATCACGGTCGAGTCCAAGTACCTTCGAAGCTCGAACTCGAGGCACGTGGACACCCTCTTGATGTCGAGGAGATTCGAGATCCCAACGCCGGGACCGAGCTGTCCCGCCTCTGGCACACCCAGCACCCTGTGGTAATTCCGTCAGGTGACGATTGTCTGCGCATCCAGGTGAGCCCGATATTGGTTGCCCAAACGCACTGTGAACCGTCCGCTCGGAAAATGACTGCAAAGCTCATGGGCTTGGTGATGGAGGGGACATTGAGACGGTACCTTGACGCAAATGAAGACACTCTTCAAGACATGCAGACTGAGGGTGTGGACGGTTCCGCGATAGGACCGCAAATAAGCGAATGGTTCGAATCAGCCAAAGATGCTGTTTTCAGGGGGGAACTCACAGACGTGACCAAGTCCAACGAGCAGCCTATCGAAGGAATGACTCGATTCGAAGAGGTCGGAAAGCTACAGACATTCCGCGTTGAAGCTGCACCTCGCGATCGCGAGGAGCCGACCGTACTGGAGACGAAGTTTGGGAAAGCTCTCCCTGCCGGACTACATCCTCAAGTGTGCCAAGCAATCTGGGGGTCATCCCCCGACAACCCACTCCCGCCGTTGTGCCCCGACGAGTGTCTGTGGCATGATACCTCGTCATCGAGCATTCCCGGCCTTACGTGTGATCACTTGACGAGGGTGAATCCCGAGCAATTGTACAAAGAGTTCGAGCAAGCGCGCTTCGGAGACGGTCAGTTCCAAAGCCTGCCCCACAAGCAGCTGTGCCGTGGTACACAGTGGAGGTGTGTCCCTCTTGATTGGGCAGGACGATTCCCAGTCAGGCCCGATCTTTCCTCTACCGTTGGCTTTGTCCACGGTCAGACCACACGATCGGACGGAGAAGAGGCAAAGAATGGACACGGTCTGGACATCATTCTGTCTGACCACCTCATCTCTGATTCCGATCCCCAATGCATACCAGGCTTTCACTCTGCTGCCGGCAGCTCGCTCAACCGCGCAATTATGAGCAAGGTATCGAGGAGCCTGGCTCACTCTATCCTTGCTCTAAACAATGACGAGATGGCAGGGCTCTTTCAGGAAGTCCAGAAAGAACAGAACAAGGAAAGCGACAAGCGAGAACGATTGATCCAGACTCTACTGGATCGAGCTCTCGTTGTTCGTGCCATGTCGAGGGATCTCGAGGTGGAAGTGGACAAGGAAGCTCCTACACACCATGATCTAACCAATCACAAAGTGGCAGAGCTCTTTGAGGAAGTACAGAAGGAACAGGACAAGGACAGCTACGAGCGAGGACGAATATTACAGACTCTACTGGATCGAGCTCTCGTTGTTGGTGCCATGTCGAGGTATTCCAAGGTGGAAGTGGACAAGGAAGAATGCGTTGCCATGGTTGCTTTGCCCCTAACTGAAAGCGGTCCTTTCCGGAGGCTTCGAGTTACAATTGGTGAGCCTCCCGTCAACGAGGGAGCCGCGATCCGGACTCAACTTCTCGAGTACACCTGGAAAGTCGAGGACGCCCCCAAGCGCGAGGACCCCCCAGAGCCCGAGGACCCCTTAAGCCCCAGAAACAGGCTGCGCAGCAACTCGACTCCAAAGGAGGTCGGGTCATGTTCCCCGTGTCACTCCGCCCGACTCACGACCGGAGACGCCGGCTAAGGTAAGCCTTCGCATGCGCCGGACACAGAGGGAAGGCCGCGTAACGTCTCTGGACCAAGTTCATATTCCCCTTCTGTATTTGCTCAAACCAGTGTAGGTCCCAGCAAGCCTTCCTCGGGGTGGCTACCTAGTGGCCATTGGAAAAGCATAGTATAGGAGTTGACGGTCGAGTCGCACATCACTCGAAAAAATGCATCTTGTTGTCACCGACCTTTATCCCCTTGGTAACCTTAGTAGGGTTCCAAGCACAGAGTTTTTTCATCAGGCAACAGTGGGTCTCTGAAACCTTATGCACATCGCGAAGGAAAGTCACGGCAACCGGTAGACACGGCTCAGGGGAGACCGTAGGCACCCCGGCTCGCTGATGGATTCCTCATTCTGCCTCAGAACAGCTCGTGCCACACTCCACGTTCATGCGGAGCGTGTGTCGCGAACTCCTCGAGGGTTTCAACAGCGGCAGGCATTACCTCAAGTGGTAATCGTGGCCGAATGATATGTCTCGTAACCATGCGCACCACCTTCTGCCCTGTCAGTGTAAGCCCAGATCGTGATTCTGCAGCATAACGAGCTTCCAGACACATGCTGTGCATGCACAAAGAATATAGTTCACAGCAAGAATGAGCCGACAACTCCTGCAAGGTGGTTCTATCGTACAGCGGTTTAGTACGTCAGGTTTTGAGAAGCCTACCGCAATCCAGAATCCTGACAACCTGGGTTCGAATCCCAGTAGGACCTTGCAGCGTCATGCCGTGAATCATTCCCATGCTCTATAATGGTTCGGTGTGCCGAGGTGACTTTGTCGTCTTTGCTCTCCGAGTTGTTGTCACAGCATTGAGTGTGATTCACGACAACTTTTTGGTTCTTCCCGATTCCCAGCCTTGTCAAGGGGGGCGGAGGAGTAACAGTTTGAAAGTTGACACGCCTGCATGGAGATCGTGGAGCAGAGGACGAGGCTGGATCAAGACTCCAACTCGACTTTGTCTGATGGCCTACCCAGTTTCCAGGAGGAATCCTTCGATACGACGGCGAAACGTGGGCTTTCCTATGGACCCTCTCGATTCGAGACTCGCAACAACTGTGCCGCAACAGTCTCACCTGCTTAACAGGTTCGACATGCAGGTAATGATACACCTCGCCTTGTGTCGAAGAGGAAGCGAAGACGGTCCCAATGATGCTTCTCTGACGACGTTTGGCTCCACAGTTCGCCGTACAAAAGGCAGTGGAAGAGGATCACATTGTGTACTTCACACATGCACAGAGCCCATACTTAGCTCTTCAAGAGGAGAAGAAAGAATGACCGCTTGACTCGGGCAGTCGTACTCCCTGTTCGAGGGACTCTACCTCCTTGTGAGGGGTCACTGCAGCCGATCCACCAGCTCAGCAGATGCTCGACTAGACTCGGCAGTCATGGACCGCGCGATCATGCAGGACTCCTCCATGCTCTTCCGAGCCAGTGTCCCGGGCATGAACGCACTTGGTTGGATTTGTGAGCGAAATGTGGGCCCAAGCCGCGTCGTCCTGGTCGATCTGGTCTGCTCCTATAAAGTGCGAGGTTGCGATCTGCATGGAATAGTTGGACGCTCAGAGCGTTGAGCCATCAGAGTAATATCGACGATGTCGAAGAATGAGTGAGACCACAAAGAGGATGTGGCTTGGTTCGGTGACATTGTGATGGTTGAAAAGGGAATGAGATGTGTTCATCGTCCATCTCTGTTTCAATCTACTTCGTCTCGCTGCTAAGTACATCAACTCACCCGCCATTCCCTCTGTTTGCTTTTCTCTACCCATCAGCTCCAGCCTCATCCCCCAACATACAACTCTCCACGATCTATGCCTGATTGCCGGGGACTGGACCGAACATAAGCCGAATCCCTCAACACCATGTCCAACCAGATATGTCGCAACTGGCAAAACGGGTGAGCTTGCTTTCCACCCTCGCCGAGTGCTCGCACAACACCCCCCAACGCGACCCCCTATCAACTCGCTGACTCCAGACATTGTCGGTTTGGCAATAATTGTAGATTCCTACATCCGCCAAAGGACAACAATGGGCGGATCATCGGTACGCATCTGTCTTCAATTCCACCTGCATTACTCCGACTATGGCTCCTCCCCGCAGGTTTAGTCCTGTTCGCTGATCCTCAGCGCAAGCTTCGAACAACCGGTTCTCCACCGCCAACGCGACGCCCCTGGGCGGTGCGAAGGAGATATACATGTTCACGTGAGTGACGGCCTTGCCCATTGCCCCGACGCCTCGATCACCGTGAAAGGTCTGGATACTCTCGATACTATACCCACCTCTCGTCCACGTCTGACCTCGATCGTATCCTCAAGCATCAAATCCGGGCTTTACATAACCCTCTGACTTATCACTAACGCGCAGGGAGGGCACTCTCGATACGGATCTCCGGACCCAAATTCCCTTCTGGATCCTATCGTCATTCGGCGCAGCGGCTCATGAACCGAATCTGATCCACGAAGGAGACATCAGTCAAGAAGAGCTGAGATGGAAAAGCGTACAAGCTATCAAAAGTGGACAGCCTCAACAATACGTGCGTAGAGCGTCTATGCGCTTCCCCCACCCACAGAATAGTACTGAACCTGACTCCAGGTCGCCGAAGAGGCCCAGCTTCTCCAGAAGGCACAGCAAAATATCTCCCAAATCCTGTCCAACAAATCTGCCGCTATCAACATCGCCAAGAGGCTCCACGACGCCCGATTCGGCGACGCTCCAGCTAGTACGAGCACCAGCCGTCCGCCCGACTTTGACGAGGCGAGAGTGATTGCTTCTGCGCCGCCTTCCGGACCGTCCTCGAGCTCTGGCTTCGGAGGGGGGTCTGGGGCATTTGGCGCGGGCGGTCCTACTGGTTCAGCATTCGGACAATCATCATTCGGCTCGACGAGCAAGCCGTCGGCGTTTGGAGGGGGAGGAGGGGGAGGCGCCTTTGGAGGGTCATCTGGAGGGGCGTTTGGCAGTTCATCAGGCGGAGCGTTCGGAGGCGGGTCTACCGGGGCTTTCGGGGGAGGACAAAGCGGTTCGAGCGCGTTTGGAACATCGGCGTTCGGTCAGAAATCATCCACACCGGCTTTCGGATCGACTTCGACCCCTGCACCTGCGTTTGGCGCGTCGTCCGCTCCTACGTCCGCGTTTGGCGCCAAACCAACGGCCTCGTCAGGCTTTGGCGGGGCAGCTGCTACTCCCGCATTTGGATCTTCTGCGTTCGGCTCCGGCGCGGGTACAGGAGGATCGGCATTTGGCCAGTCTGGCTTTGGGGCGAAACCGACAGGAGCGTTTGGGTCGAGTACGTCTACCCCGGCTTTCGGATCCACGAGCGGTCCGACGCCTGCGTTCGGATCTTCCCCATCCACGACGACCGGTGGGTTTGGCCAAGCTGCCAAACCATTCGGGCAAGCGGCTTCTACCCCAGCGTTTGGTTCTTCCGGCTTTGGGTCTTCTTCAACCACAGCACCCCCCGTGGGGGCGGGATTCGGTCAATCAGCTTTCGGCCAGACGTCCAAGCCTGCTGCGTTTGGAGCGTCGGCAACTGCTCAACCCAGTGCGTTTGGTCAGCCCGCTCAGCCCGCCCCGTCCGGCGGATTTGGAGCCGCTGGTACGACGTCGACATCTACTTCATCTGGTTTTGGCGGGTTTGGCTCGTCTGCCGCTCCCGCTGCGTCCGGTGGGTTCAGTGGGTTTGGACAGAAACCACCAGCGGCGGGTGGTGCAACAACAACGACGAGTGCGTTTGGTCAAGCGCAAGGGCCACCGACAAGCGGGGCCGGTGGGTTTGGCAGCGCGCCGGCCTTTGGGCAGACCGCGGGAGGTAGCCCTGGGTTTGGTCAAACCGCCCAGCCCCGAACACCTGCCTCTGGGTTCGGCACGGCTTCCGCACCGACCACCACGGGCTTCGGCGCTTCGGCCAACACGAGCAGTGCAGGGGGTTTCGGCGGCTCGACCAACCCCGCGCCGGCATTTGGAACGGGCACGACAACTGCTCCGGCGCCTGCTTGGTCGTTGTCCGACCCATGGTCGTTCCTCCTCCCTACGCCTGATGGAGAGGGGGACAAGAAGATGGACGAGGAGGTGTTGAGGGCGTTCCAGGATGTACGGTTCGAGATGGGCAAGATCCCTTCCCTGCCCCCTCCGCCGGCTCTGCGCGCATAAGAGGGGTACAGGGGGGTGATTGTCTGACGGGCGGTGAAACAGGGAGAGCATCTAGGAGATATATATATACCAAGCATAATTCAGATCCGCACATACACCACCCGACCGAAATGTAATGTTTGTAACGCGTTCATTGAGTCAAACCGAAGCCCCAAAGCACGTCTTTGTGCATCATTGCATACTTTGACAAGAATATCCCACCTTCGATTTTGTCTCCGAGCCAAGGTCTTCTCGACCTATCTACCTAATCCCTTTAGACATACCGCTTCTAAGCAGTCTTGCCGAACCCACCGGTCGAGCCGAACCCTCCAGCTCCTCGCGCAGTCGCTTCCAGGTCCTATGTATCAGTACTGCCGAACCGTCTCAGACCAGTCTACTCACATCCACCTCGAGGAGCGGGGCCATAACAATCCGCTCGAGGATGAGCTGCGCGACTCGGTCACCATGCTTGACTGACTTGTCAGTGTCGCGCTCCATGCTATTCCTTTCACTCAAAGACATACCGGTAAACTCCTCATCAGAAAAGTTGAAGAGCAAGACCTTGACGGGACCTCTGTAATCCGCATCGATCACACCCGCGCCAGTATCGATCGAGTGCTTCGCAGCTACTTTGTCAGCCATCGCCTGATAACTCCGGACATCGACCCACCGAGACCACTGCGAGGGGCGATTCGACCATACGTCCCCTCGGGACAGGCCACCGAGATCTGCAGGTCGACCAGAGCCTTCCCTCGCTTCGGCACGACAGTCTCCTCGGCGGCATACAGGTCGTAACCAGCGGACAAGGGCGACCCGCGGGTCGGCAAGGTCGCCTTGTCGGAGAGCCGCTTGATCAACAAGTGATCCTTGGGCTGGGGTGTCAGCGCTTCAAGTCAGGAAACGGCTTTCGGTACTCACCGCAGTGACGCTCGAGCCATTGGGCGCGGGAGTCGAGACGATCGATACGTTGGCTGATTTCGGAGCTTCAGGGGCCGAGGACGGGGCGGGTTCAGGCTCATCATCGCTCTCGGGCTGTTGAATCTCCAGGTCCTTCGCTTTGGGCTCGGCCACGGGAGAAGGCGGGGCCAGCGGCTTGGTCTCCGTCGCAGTGGAAGGAGCCGTGGTGAGGGACGCTGGCGCAGGCTCGGACTTTGTCGGGGCGGTCTCGGATCGGACGGGCGTGGGGGTCGAAGCGGCCGGAGCGGGCGCAGGGGTGGAAGCCGACTTGGTAGGCGCGGCAGGGATGGGAGCGGAGGACGACGAGACGGATCGAGTCTCCAGGTCGACGACCTTGGGTCGGGCATCCTTACCGCCAAACCAGTCTGAGCTGGAAAGCGCAGGCTCGATCGAGTTGGCAGGTGGGAAGATGCTGAATGTAAGTGGAGGCTTTGCCGAGGAGGGGTTTGTCTGGACCTACTCGGACTGGAAGCTCTCGGCTTTTCGAGGGACGATAAAGGACAAAGCCTCGATGGATCCTCCGGCGAGCTTGTATCCTCGCGCAATCTCGTTCTGACCAACGTCCAGCGCTCGTCGGGGGAGGAGGTTGAAACCCCGTTCTGATGGTGAGCAAACGTGACTTGGGGCAAAAGGA